TCTAGGCGGAAGAGATAAATGTCGTGAAGTTTAGACTCTCATGATAGGTTGACAAGAGAACCTAACAGTAGGCTCAGTCAATGAGTGGTCCAATCCGAAAAGCCCCTAAACCTTGAAGGGTGGAATAACCAGCCACGAGCGATAACGCCCAATTGGGAAAGTGAGATTGTGGAGATGACCGAGTCCGGCCAGCCTTTGAGATAAGGATCCTGGTAACCACAATTTCCCATTTGAGAACACATGTCGGTAGCAGAATCCAGTCTGTTATATACCGGCATGCGAAGGCATGGGGATGGGTTTGAAAACATTGGAAGTAACACTGAAGGATGGCGACCACAACAGTGACAACTACAGAGGCGGAATGTACCTTTCTCCCTATCAAGGCAGAAAGTCTTCCACCCGTGCTCACCTTCGAAGCAGATGCCGACCCAGCAGACATAGTCAAGGCCCTGAAAGTCAGTGGTGGATGCAGGGTCAAAGGAGCCGTTGATAAGGAAATCCTTGCCCAGGTGGAAAGAGAGTTGCGGCCACACATCGAGGCGGATGTCGTGTGGGAGGGAGACTTCTTTCCGATCCAAACTCGGAGGGTCGAAGGTATGATTGGCAAGAGTCCAATCTGTGCCGAGCATATCATCAACCATCCGCTTTACCAGGCTGTGTGCAAGGAGTTCTTGACAACCAAGAACTGGTATTGGAGTGGACAAAAGAAAATCTTCGCAACGTCAGATCCACAACTCAACAATTCAATTTGCTTCTCCATCGGACCAGGGGCCTGGGATCAGCCTCTACACAGGGACAGTTGGTGTCACCAGACCTATGAAGCAGAAGTCGCTGTATATCCCGACAACTATGACCGTGATGTCGGCATTGGCTGGTTCGTTGCTGGCAAACCCGCGACTCGGGAGAATGGTGCGACAAGATTCATCCCTGGCAGTCATCTCTGGTCCAAAGACCGACCTCCCCAGGATGAGCTTGCTGTACATGCAGAGTTAGAACCAGGAGTAAGTGCGCTTTACCATACCAGCAATGAAGTGCTGAAAGTGTAACGCAGGATGCTTTCATGATGTTGAGTTCATGTTATCATGGTGGATCTGCCAACAAGACGACAGACCAAGAGCGACTGCTATTCAGGTAAGAGAGAGAGAGCCCCTAATCGCATAAAAGGCAAAGGGCTGAGGATTCCAGTTGTTTCATGACCAAGGGCTGGTTGCGGCAGGAAGAAAACCGTGAGTTCCCTTCCCTCTTGACGATAGTATCGATTTTGCCTTGGCTAGACCCGTGATACGAGCTAATATGTGTGCTCAGAATATTTGGCCATTCCAAAGGATGTGGTGCTCAAGATGCCTGTTCATATACAACAACTCATGGGTTACAAGCTGAGCCAGCCATTCTGTGGTTGGGTGGAAAGTGACGATCCGCGGGTTGTTCTGGACCCTTCATTGAAGGACGATCCGTCAGGACATTACGACGAAGGTGAAGACAAGCATTAGAGCCCTTGAATCCTTCGGTAGGAAGAGTGGCGAGGGTTGTCCCGGTAGATGCTGTGGTTGCACAAGTCAGTTCTCGGTAACACCAGTAGGACAAGTCAGGCCTGACCTCTCATCAGTATTTGTCTCCTGTCTTACGCCATCGTGTCAGGCCCTCAAAGTGGCAGGCTTGTGCCAAATGTAGGAAACGGGTTAATGACAGGATTAACCTCCTTGCTCGGACACCGATGGGATCAAATGCAGTGGTTATTGGTGATCTTGACACTGTCGCACCAAGGCGCTAGTCGGTGATATCCCTGGGCTCGACCTGCTCCTTCCTGTCACTCGCAGTCAGTCTGTCAATCACATGAAGGCCAAGAGTTTAGCTTGGCATTCTAGTTCTAGCATCCTTGGCATTGCGAGAACGTGACCCTGGAAAGGGGGAGCTGAAAAGTGGTTGATTGGTGGCGAAGCGAAACGAACTTCCTGTTTTGGACATGTCACTGTCTGAACACCATCTTGCGCCGATCTGTCATTGAGACATGAAACTGTCTGGCAAAAGATCAACCAAAGATCTAGTGGTGTCAGACAAGCTTCAATATGCCCCCCCCGGATTCTTCTTGGTTCGACCTCCATGCTGGCATTTGGCGCGTGGAACTGCCACCACATCGCACTGCGGGGTCGGACTTCGGTGTAGGATTTAAAGGAAACATGTTCGTGCCAAAACATTGTCTACCACTCCGCTCGTCCATATGGCCTCCACAGACAGAGGTGCCATGGCTGACAAGAACCCTTCCATCTCGACTCCGAGTCTTGACCTCTCGCTCCAGACAACCGAGCAGTCGGTCTTGGACGATGAGCCAACACTGTGGAAGTCCATCAGGAAATGGCCCAAGGTCATGGGATATTCCTTGGGTTTGACATCCAGCATCTTGCTGTATGGGTTTGACACTTCGATAGTGGGCAATGTCTCGGCTATCCCAGCATTTCAGTGAGTTTGCCCTCGACAATATCAATCTCAGAGCCTAATAGGATCGTTCTTAGGGAAGACTATGGCCGAAAATTGAATAACCGCCACATCATCCCGTCGATGTGGATGGGACTCTGGAACGCTGTCAGCCCGATTGGTATTATGATTGGAAGCATCATCGCTGGCTGGCTCCAGGATCGTATTGGGCGACGTCCGACACTCGCTCTGGGAAGCTTCTTGTCAGCCGGGGCAGTGGCCATCATATACTGCTCGCATTTCCCCGATGCGCTGGACTCGCGGCGGGGCACCTTTCTCGCGGCCAAACTCATTCAGGGGTTGGCTGTCGGAGCTCTCTTGTGTACCACGCAGACGTATCTTTCAGAAATCCTACCGCCGAAGCTGAGGGGTTCAGTCATGGCCTTCTTCCCCGTCTTCACGCTGCTCGGACAATTGATCGGCGCAGTCGTTGTCTATACATCCTTGAACTATCCCGACGACCGACCCTACACCACGCCCATGATTGCACAGTGGCCGTTTTCTGCTGTCCCTTTAATCCTCGCTCTGCTGTTGCCAGAGAGTCCCACCTACCTGCTCCGCAAGCGGAAATACGACAAGGCTGTCCAAGCGCAACGACGACTCGACAGTTCCAGAACCGACACGCAAAAGAATATAGACAACCTGGTATACTTGTTGCAAAAAGAGGAAGAACAGGCCAAAAGGCAGGATCGGGCAACATACGCGGAATGCTTCCGGGGCACAAACAGACGGCGCACGCTGATTGTCATCTTCGCAAACACGCTGCCTCAGTTCTTTGGACTGTCCTTGCTCGCCGACGCCAGCTATTTCATCCAGGTCGTCGGCATGAGTGCAGACAATGCTCTTTTGTTCCTCCAGCTCGGCGTTGGCCTGGGATTGCTCGCCAATATTGTCAGCATGTGGGTGATCACAAAAGTCGGACGGAGGGTGCTCGGGATGACGACCCTGGTTGGAAGCACCATCCTCTGGCTGGGCATGGGGATTGCTGGCTGCTTTGATGGTGTCGTCGTGATATGGTATGAGAAACTCTCTCCTCATCTTGGGTTGACGAGCACGAACCCGCTAATCTTCCTCTACGCAGGTACACCGCAGTCACTATGATGGTGGTTATTGTGGTCGTCGGGGTCGGGATATGGCCGGTCTCGTTCGTTGTCAGCGCGGAAACATCGTCTCTTCGACTCCGCGCAAAGACCCAAGGCCTCGGATGGTTTTCGGGCGCGCTCGCACAAGGAATCTTCGGGATCAGCCTCCCCTACGTGTACAACGTCGACCAGGGCAACCTTCGAGCCAAGGCCGGGTTCATCATCGCCGGATTCTCAGCCATCGCCTGGGTCCTGACCTGGTGCTTCGTGCCCGAAATGAAGGAACGCACCGCCGCAGAGATCGACGTCATGTTCGAGCATCGCTTACCCGCCAGGAAATTCAAGGACTGGCGGCGAGGTGCCATTGGCGAAGTCATGGCCGAAGCCTCCTTCGGCTCTCAAGCACATTTGACATAGAAGGAAAATCGAGTCAGGCGAGTGATATGTATCTCTACTGTACGAGGTACTTGCTGGTATCTGGCTATATCAGCACATGTCGATCGGACAATCCCCGCCCCCCACAAAAACAGCCGTAAGCTTGTGAGTTAGTGTTCCCACGCGAGTTGGCGGGGCCCTTGAGGCAGAACCCGTGCCACATCGCGAACAAGGCTAGGGGTACTCGGTATATTTGCAGGTGTGGCAGGAAACGCGGATTGTCCTCCGGGAACACACCCCACGCTGACTCGCTACCGAGATGTCATGTAATGCTCGCGTGTCTTCACGCACCAGGAACTGAAAAAAGACCAATCTCTGAACTAGCATCTCCATTTGCTTCGACATCTTGGAAAGAAAGAGTAGCCTTTCCACACGTCCATTGACCTCGGGTAACCACATCGCCACATTATCAAACTTGGCCCTGCAGTGCCCTGTCACGGATGCGATCCCCTCACGCCGCGCCCACTTGGCCATTTTCGGTGGAGAAAAGGGGCCAGAGCAACCGAAGTGAACAGCACCAGCATTACCGAGTATTAATCGAGCTTTCGGAGTGGAACTCGCTTCCATACCCGCGCCGCTTTTATAGCAAGGATTACTCTGTTGACACCGCACTTGATGCCTCTCTCATGTATGTGTGCGGTACACACATAAGAAAGTGTTGACAACGAAGACTTCCGGGTTGAACAGTGTCCTCTTCACCCTCCAGTACGGTTACACTTCATAGACAAGTGAATCTGTGCATTCCCGTTACACGGGCATGAGGGCATGAACATGGAGCAGGAGCTTGGAGTCACGCGACCTTGTGTCTCTAAGAGCTGAGAATCTATCCCTCCTTAACTGATCACGCCCCAGATGGCGCACACCAATATATCCAGCGACATTTTGCACAGTAGCCGTCGGATCAGGGATCTCTTCACATGTGCAGATTGTGGTCGACCCTGACCCTAACCCTGACCCTCTTAGGCCCGAGCGTGGAGTGGAGTGGAGAGGATGCCTATCTCTCTCTATGTCTTACAAGTTGTAGTTATTCAGCCAAGGGTCATCGAGGAGTTCACGCGCAGTGAGCCGCTCATTCGGATCCCACCGTAACATTGACTTGACGAACTCGAGGAAAAGCCGCTTATTCTCGCCGTCAAGACGCTGTTCCCTGACGTCCAACGAATGCTTGTTGCTCAGGTCCACACCGGTCGTGAGGCAACCTATAAAAAAAAAGTAACGCTTTAGCCCTCAACACTTCGTTTCACCAATCAGACAGAGAATTAGACGGAAGTGAGGACTTACCGGAGTGATCGAAATATTTCCAACTCGTCTCGCTCCTCTCCAGGAAAGAGACAGGCGGTGGTCCAAGAACTGCCACCATCTCAGAAATGTGGGCTCGGTTTGAAAGTTTGTTTGTGGCCGGATCGTAGCCATCGAATAGATGTTCGTTGTAGAAAAGGTCCCATATCTGGACGGGGGTTCAGTAGAAAGTTCTCAAACTGGACTTTGACACTGAGAGGTTTCCCGTACCATCGAGCCAATGTTCCAGATATCGACACTATAGCTCCAATCCATGTCCAGCAAGATCTCGGGGGCCCGGTAGATCTCGGGCTGTATGTCGTCGTTGCGATCGCCTCCCCGGAACCGAGCCAGCCCAAAGTCGCTTAGAACGGGAAGTCCGATCGTCTTGGGCCTCGTGATCGCGCGAGATTGGTAGATTGTACGGTCCGCATAGATATTCCGCGGACCAGGGTTTGCAGCTTCCTCTTTGACAGAAGCCTCCAGAACTGATTCGTCCTCAAGACTAAGCATGATGTTATTCGCTTTGATATCTGAGAGATGGTTTTAGCTGGGTGCTTGGTTCGGGCCGGGGCGGGTTCTCTCACCTGTATGTACCAAATGACATTCACTATGCAGGTAGTCGATCGCTTGCAAAATGCACCATAGTACCGGTCTCAGAAGCTCTTCCGTGAGCTTGCGTCGACTGTCTTGGTACTGAAGCGCACGAAGACTTTCCCAGAGTGGTCGATGCACCAGACACTGATGCTTGCCGTCGGGACCTTCAACCTCGAAGCTGTCCAGACAGGTCCGAATATGCTTTCGTCCTGGATGCTCAGATGCGATTGTGCTTAGGTAATCGTATATCTTCACCTCGTGGGCAGGGTTTGGACTGACGTCGCGTGCGAAGATCTTGGGGGCGACATACTTCTTTTGCCTGTGAATTGAAGATCAGCCAGGGGCTTTTGCAAAAGGCTCATGGTCCAACCCTAAGTCCTGGGCAAGCCACACGGTTGAGCTAGCCCCGAATCCCAGCTTGCCAACAACTTCATATTTGGAAAGGATCTCGCCTATGTAGGCTGGGTAGAAGTTCGCTGGTTTGTAGTAGAGAAGAGTTTCTTCCTCGATTTTTTTGGTCCGATTATCATCCTGTCGGCCACCTCTCGCAGTAGAAGAATAGTTTCGCAGACCAGGAAAGCATCGCAAGGGAGGACATGGTGAAGATTTGAAGGTATATATGCAGCGATAAGGAAGTGTAGCTCTCCGCAAAGCAAGCATGACACGAGGATTGTCCACCTTCACACGGGGCGCACGAGTGAAAAAGGGAGAGACAGAGCGTCGACCCAAGCTAGGCGTAAGCCTTGGATGCCTAGCTCCTCTGACCCTAATGAGGTAGAGTTCCGGTCCCTCGAGTCGCACAAAGACCCTGCCGAGACTGTGGACATAATATCGCTGGAGGGAAATGGATACGAGGTACGAGGTACGCTGTCATCTGTACTCGGTAGGTGGTTGGTGACGAGTGGTTACGCAGTCCAAGGGGGAATATTGCACCTTACCGTTATAGGCAAATGTATTGCGCCCAAAGCATCGATGCTATGGCGCTGCTTTTGGATCACTCCTTTTGCTCATTGGACAGGGGTTGAGTGAGCCAAGCACCCAATCACTATCGATGTCGGAAGCCCGCTACCGACCGAGCGGGGTGAGCGCAAAGAGCGGCGGCAGCCCCCACACATGAACCGCGGCAGTTTGGGGCAGAGAACATGGGGATGGGGACTGAGGACCACTTTGCGACATGTACCGCGGGCGTACGCGGGATTAAAATAGGTGTGACAAGGCGTCCTACCGTGTTGCCATAAGACTGTCTCCTCATCCCCTCCGCTCACACAATTCCTGCCTCGACTTTGTTTCCATCCACACTTTTTCTTTCCTCCCCCCCAGACAAGATGACTGATACAAACCCATCGATGGGCGCCATCGTCCATAGCGATGTCCTGATAGTCGGGGCCGGATTCAGTGGCATATCCATGCTCTATCGGCTCCGCAAGGCAGGGCTTAGCGCAAAGATCTTTGAATCTGGAGGTGACTTTGGTGGCGTCTGGTACTGGAACCGGTATCCCGGAGCCCGCGTGGACTCGGAGTGGCCGTACTATCAACTGAACATCCCCGAAGTATATCGTGACTGGGAATTCTCCGAGAAGTTCCCTGGTCACAAAGAGATCCGGGCGTACTGCGCGCACATTGATAAGGTTCTTGACTTGCGCAAGGACGTCCAGTTCAACGCTCACGTGGTGGATGCTCGATGGAGCAAAAGCGATGAGAAGTGGACGGTCAAGACCGAACAGGGACACATTGCGCAGAGCAAGTACTTGATTCTGTGCACCGGCCTTCTACACCGAAGGCACATCCCGGATTTCCCTGGTCTGACGACGTACAACGGAGTCCTGCACCACACGGGCTTCTGGCCTGAAGACATGAGTGTGAAGGGGAAGAAAGTGGCGGTCATTGGCGCTGGTGCCACTGCCGTGCAAGTCGTACAGGAGCTGGCTAAGGAAGCTGACCAGCTCACTGTCTTCATGCGCCGGCCCAGTCTGTGCTTACCTATGGGTCAACGGCCTCTCAGTGTCGAGGAGCAACGGTCGTGGAAGGCATATTTTGAGGCTCTATTCCGCGAGGGCCGCCAGTCCAATGCCGGGTTCCCAGGCAAACCTGAACCACGCGGCGTGCTTGACGTGTCGGATGAAGAACGCGAGCGGCACTTCGAAATGCTTTGGCAGAGAGGAGGTTTCAATTTCCTCATGGGGAACTATAGCGACGTCGTCCTGAGCAAAGAGGCGAATCAAAAGGTGTATGATTTCTGGGCCAAGAAGATGAGGCAGAGGATCAAGGACCCGAGGAAGCAGGAGTTGATGGTGCCCGTCGAGGCGCCTTACTACTTTGGTACGAAGAGATGTCCTCTAGAGCAGGACTACTATGAGATGCTCGATCGTCCCAACGTCCACATTGTCAATATGAACCAGAACCCCCTCAAGACATTCAATGCCACCGGTATGTTGATGGAGGACGGCACCCAGCTAGATTTCGACGTGGTTGTCCTTGCCACGGGTTTCGACTCATTTTCTGGATCGTGAGTTCTTGGTTTACCTCGTCCATGCGGAGAAGCATCAGTGCTAACTCAAGAACCCAGGTTGACCCAAATGGGATTGAAGAACAAAGACGGCGTCGACATCAAGGACGTCTGGAAGGATGGTATCCGGACATACCTTGGCATGACGTTTAACGGCTTCCCCAATGCTTTCATGGTCTATACCCCCCATGGTAATGCTCTCCTTCTCTCCTTTCCCGATCTAGACGGGGCTTTGCCACCCTATATACTGACTTTGCACACACAGCTCCTACTGCACTATCGAACGGACCAACCATCATCGAAGCGCAGAGCGATTTCATCCTGGCCGCCATCGAGAAGCTGGAGAAGGAAGGCGCCAAGACGATTGAGCCGAACCGAGACGCCGAGGACGAGTGGGACGACATGATCGACGCCATGAACGAGCACACGCTCTTCCCGCTCACCAACAGTTGGTGGAACGCGTCCAACATCCCCGGCAAGAAGATTCAGATCCTGACCCATCCGGGCGGCATCAAGATGTACGAGTCCCAGTGTCGCGACACTCTCAACGACTGGAAGGGTTTCACAGTCGTGGGCAAGGAGACCAACGGCGCCTTGAAGGAGAAGGGCGTACCTACCGAAAAGAGCGTGGAAATCGCCGTCCCAGTGTAACCTTCCCTCACGAATCGTCGGGACTGTGACGTGTACATCTCGATTATATGGTTGGTAGGTGGAGGCCAAGGAGGATTCCTTTGTCCCCGAAGGACGATTGAAACCAGACTTGAGCAGTGATAAATCAACAGATACCTCAGTGTCAATTTGGATCCAGCTTTCCCTTTGTTCTGTTCGACCGTGAAAAGATGTTTCAGGTTGTTTGCTCTCTTCCTCTTCGGCAGCCTAAAGGGACAGGCTATACGATACCGATGACGAGCCTATATCCACTCATGCAGTGCACGCACTGGACAGGCATGGTCCGGGGCCAGTGGCGTTTGATTCGACTCTCAAATGCCCAAGGTAAAGTGTGAAGCCGGTATTCGTGCATAGAGTAGCCTTCACAGCGCTACAAAGCTTTCACCTCGATGCATTTCCGTGGATCGAAGCACATTTCCCTTGCAAATGGGGACGAGATAACTCGCCAGATCAGGTGCTGCTGAGGTCCTTGTGAGAGCTGAGTCCCACCAGCAGGCTTCAGCACATAACCTCGCTGGTTGCTGACAAGGTGGACTCCATGCTGCCGCCACTGGTTTGTGAAGTGCGTGTGGCCAAAAATCCACCAATCTACCCTGTTGATTCCTCCAGGAAATCCGAGCAAGTCTGTAGCAAATCCATCGGCCCACGGATTTCCCTCGTGCTTGGGATGGCTGCTTCCCTTTTTGATGGGTGCGTGGTGGGTGACAACAAGGATCATTTTCTCTTGGCCAAGTCGCTTGGATGCAAGTCTGATCGACTCAACCTCATTCCGCAGCCACTCCACGTCCTTGGCATGCTCAGTATTATGATCGTCGACACTCCAATCATGTATTCTTCGAAAGTCTTTGATCCGGCTCTGCACCTCAGCTCGGTTTTCCGATCGTATACGTGACTGGAGAGTGCAACCAAGCACACAGATGGACGGGTCGACGTCCAACCTTGTCCGGTTGAGGACAGACAGCTTTCCTAGCGTACTTGGCTCTCTCTGCAACCTGTGGGCAAGCGCTAGGCCATCAGCTCGTGAAACGCCATAAAACTCGTGATTTCCAAGGACGGGACACACTTGGTCAAAGTTGGCGCATTGTGTACTTATGAAAAATAGGTAATTTTCGTAGTCGTGCAGCCGGCCAATGTCACCAGCCAAGACGAGAATAGGGGCTTGAACTGGAACCTGGAAACTCTTATACTGATTTCCCGTCTCGAGATTAAGATCTGACAGAATTTGGAAAGGCAGTTTGCGCGGATTGGAGCACCCAAGTAATCGTTTAAAAGTGGGCATCTTTGTTGTGGATGGTCAAGCCGCATACGTTGGGAGCTGACGAGGCTGGCACAGGCAAGTAAATTGTGACTGGCAGGAATGCCAAGGACGTGTAATGACCGTCACGCTAGTCCTCGGCCGAAGGCCTTCGGACTAGCGCCGGTAGGGCCCTGTAAATTACTCGAAGGTATATAGTCAGACGGTCCCCAG